TGTATATATATATATATATATATATGTATATAGCATTAAATAATGTTAATTACTACAAACATTTACTTCTACATGCATGTATACCATTAAATTTGGCCTTATAAATATATATACTCATACACATGTACATACAGTGATCCCTCGCTATTTCGCGGTTCGTTTATCTTGGCTTTGGTGCATCGCGGATTTTTTCAAACAATCAAAAAAATAAACTTTTTTTGTTTTTTTGAAGTCTGCAAAAATCTGTGTCTAAGTGTTGTTTACTATGCGTGCTAGTGTGTGCGCACTCTGCCCAAGCGCGGAAGATCCACGTGGGGCACGTGTGTGCACGTGCATGCATTGGCGCGCAGGTGAGTGTATGTGTGTTGCTGAGAGAAAGAGAGAAGAGAGAGAGAGAGAGAGCGAGGGACTTATGAGAACAAAAGCAGGTCTCTCCATCCTTCATTGTCTAAACCAGTGTTTTTCAACCCGTGTGCCGCGGCACACCAGTGTGCCGCGAGACATTGTCAGGTGAGCCGTGGGAAAATATCTAATTTGTATGCCTGTGCGGTCTTTCGCCCAGAAAGTAATCATGTAGTACCCTCCTATACCGCTAGGGAGCAGCAACAGCTCGCCAATTGCCTTGTGTTTCGACGAGAGACAAGCGAATTTGTGACGCATGAATGCAGGACGACGGTGAAACAATAAATATGAAAGATGAGAAAATACTTTTTTCTTTGTGTTCATTTGATTCCAATTCAAGCTGTTATGTCATTCCTCAATGCTAAAAACGGTTATAGTATCAATATAACACATTATTCAAATAAACTGTTTTTTTTTTCACATTTTCAGCTAGTGGTGTGCCGCGAGATTTTTCCAATGAAAGAAGTATGCCTTGGCTCAAAAAAGTTTGAAAAACACTGGTCTAAACAACCTTAATTGACTAATCATAAACACGTCTATATATATATATGTATGTATGTCAATTGGTCGCTACTTCGCGGATTTTCGTTTATCGCGGGTGGTTTTGGTCCCCATTAACCACGATAAATGAGGGATTAATGTATACCTGTACAGGGTGGGTACCTACTTCCTGGATTTTCCTCTTTCGCGGGGCATCTCGGTCCCCATTCACCGCGATAAGTGAGGATCACTGTACACTCAAACGTGGTTCAAACGGAAATGGTCATGACGTGAACATGACACCTCCTGCGTTCGGCAAGACGCAAGTTGCATTCAAATACAGTCGTACATTTCACACTTGAACAGAAAAAAGTCCCTCGATGCAGTAGACAATAATTGCAACAAATCTTTAAATAACGTGGGCTTTCTATCAATATATTAAAGCTGATAAATATTGAGAAGATTGATAGGGATGAAATCACTTTGCTAATTTACTTAATTACAGTCACTGGTCCATCTAGTCACTATTGTTATAATAACTAATCAAATCATTAGGCTTCCATCCTTCAGTCTAGTGGTTGGCATGTCAAACATTAAATATTCAGCGAGATTTTATACTTCCCAAAGGCTTGATCAACAACAAATATTTTTGTGCCCCGCACCCTACGTTCTCAATATGAATAAAAATGCCAGTTGTGTGTTTAAAAAAACAAACAAAACTTGTTTTTCATTTACAATTTTTCCAATGTGTTTCAAAATGTATTTATTTCTTGTTACTGGAAGAATCCTAATTTTATAGTCTTGTCAAACTAATACAAATAAAACAAAAAAAATGTTTATCTGTCAGCTATTATTTCACTGCTTTTTACTGTTTTTTTAATTTTTTTGCCATGGTGTTGTTTTCTATTTTTGTCTTTGAAATAACTGACCTGTTTTGTCAGTGCGGCTTGTTGCAAACAGTTGTGCCAATAAAATATTTTGCAAATATATCTTCAGTCACTGTCAATCTTTACAGCATCAAACTAGGATATGCCAAGTGAGATGACAATACATGAGCAAATAGGGTCATGCCGTACCGCCCCAAAAAAGGGATAAAGGATGCAACTAAATCTGTGCTGGGGATGTTTATTTATATTTATTTATTTATTTATTTATTTTTGGTACCAATGCCAAAGTTAGTGTAGAGCCCTGGATAACAAAAAAGAAAAATGTTTTCCCTTAATTCTCAGACAAACTAAATTACTGATGAAAGTGCTCTTAACTTTGGAAACCAGCTCCTTGCAGCCATGCTGTTTGTCTAAGCACATCAAGGTACTACTAATCCTGTGGTTTGATCCAACCAATTATTGCTTCTAGACATCACTTTTTTATGGAAAAGTGAAATATCACTTTGATGGTACTGGTTTGTGGGACCCCAAGGACACGTCCAAATTATTGACCCAGCCTTTTACTCTTTTTATCCAGCTGATGAATCTGGCAGTGATGAAGACTTTATGGTGGAAGATGACGATGACAGTGACTACGGTCACTCCAAAAAGAGAAGCAAGAAGGTTATTCGACGAGGCCGAATGGACAAGGAGAAGAAATCTCCCAAACCCAGATTAAAGGCTACAGGTAAAACCAGATACACCGAAAGACAATTCAGCTCTTATTGTCCCGATTTTGCAGTTAAAGGTCCGACGATCTTTTGCGTTATGATATTGTCCTGTAAGATTATCCTTCGGTCTGAAGTGCATTAAGTGTGAATGATTCTAGATCCTGATTCTTAAAGAAAAAAAAAAGTGAGCTAATCTGTTATTTTTAGATCAAATCGTACAAACGTCTCCGTTCTTTAATTTCTTAAACTTTTTAATGTCTGTGAACTTTACAGTTACTCAGAACTGTTTTTAACCAGTATGTCCATTTTTAACACGAACTTTAATTTTGAGAACCTCAAGAAAATACACTAATGCAGCAGTTACTTAAAGCTTGCTCCTGAACACTGATTGATGGGCTAGCCTAGGGGTGGCCAACCAGTCAGAGACTAAGAGCCATTTTTTTTACTGTCTTACTGCAAAAAGCCATACCACACACACACACACACACACACACACACACACACACACACACACACACACACACACGAGCTGCAGTGGTTACTTACTACTTGGGTCAGCTTGCTACATATTTGACCAAAGATCGACGTTTGAAGCGACGAACCTCCCGCGATCGACCCGATCGCGCATGTGCAAGCATATACACACGCACGGACACACGCGGGCCCCCAACCACGTACACATGCGCATATGCACGCCGAGATCAACGACAGCCGGAACGTCACCGAACAGGAATGACTTCGAAACACACAGACACACAAAGTTTTTTTCCCCCCCATTTCCTCCTCCCAACGCTCGCGCTCGACTTGGGACCAGTCCGCTGGCTCTCGGTCGATCGCGATTGACGTATTGGGCAACCCTGCCTTAAAATCTGAGGTAATTTGCTGACTAGCTTAGCGTTTATCGCTAAGCACCGTGGTTTGCGCATGCGCAGTGAATCAGTTGTCATCTGATTGGTTGCCCTGTACTGTATGTCAATCAAGTAACGGGTTTGATAATAGGCTGACGGAGTAAGTTCTGTGTATTTAGCACCGTTGTTTGAATGGCAGCGCTACCACCGAGGCGTTTTCGACGCTTGTCATTTGAAAGCCCGGGAGTCGCCTTGAGCCAGCCAAAGAGCCGCATGCGGCTCACGAGCCGCGGGTTGGGCACCCCTGGGCTAGCCTTTCATAAAATGAAAGTTAAACGCTTGCAGACGAAATCCAAATTGAACATTTTCAAGGAGGTCCGTCTTGTTGCTTTGTCCAAGACCGACCTGCTTGAAAATGTTCAATTTGTATTTCTTCTGCAAGCGTTTTTGCCCTCAGTTGAATGGTGACTGCAGAGATGCTTCTCCGGCTGTTCTGTGACAGTGAATCCATTGCTCCAGTTGGTCTTCCAACTTGGGCCACCTCTCCTTGTTTCCGTGGAAACTCAGCTTCGCCTTCTTGACTTGGCGAAGCTCATTCTCCTGCTTCCTCCATTTGTAAACCTTGGATTCTTTAATCTTAAATTCTCTCGCGGCTGCTTGATTGCCAAGTTCCTCCCCGTAACTATTCGCTTGAAGTTTCACCTGTGCTTCGTAGGCATGTCTTTTCATCGGTGCCGTTTTCGGGGGTCTGAAGTTGTTTTGCCCAATCCACGTACTGGCATTATATCCACCTACTGGTGGGTTTGCCTTTAGTGTCCTCTTTCACGGACACCCTTGCCCTTGAACGTCTGCACGCCGTCCTCAGTTATGTCCGCCTTTCCTCTGCGTGTCCGCAGATCATCAGAAGTCACAAAGCAACAATCACAGATTATGAAACTCTGTGCATAGATTAGGTGCCCTGCATAAATCGAAGGTGTCTTTGGTTGGTTGGTTGGATGAATGGATGGATGGATTTCTCTTGCATATGCACATTTTTCAGGGATGTGTCCAAGGACTGGCAACCCGAGGCCAAGGCCAAGGCCAAGGACTTGCCTCCGAGGCCAAGGCCAAGGACTTGGAAAATTTTCCGAGGCAGGGCCAAGGCCAAGGACTTGAAAAATTTTCCGAGGCCAAGG